CAGGCAATTCTCCTGCCTCAGCCTCCTGAGTAGCTGGGATTACAGGCACACGCCACCATGCCCAGCTAATTTTTTGTATTTTTAGTAGAGACGGGGTTTCACCATGTTGACCAGGATGGTCTCGATCTCTTGACCTCGTGATCCACCCGCCTCGGCCTCCCACAGTGCTGGGATTACAGGCTTGAGCCACCGCGCCTGGCCTCTATTTTTGTTTTTAATTGTAGTTTATTGTATATATATATTTTGAGATGGAGTTTCACTCCTGTTGCCCAGGCTGAAGGGCAATGGCGCAATCTTGGCTCACTATAACCTCTGCCTCCCAGGTTCAAGCGATTCTCCTGCCTCAGCCTCCCAACTAACTGGGATTACAGGGACATGCCACCACGCCCGACTAATTTTTTTTGTAGTTAGTAGAGAGTGGGGGTTCACCATGCTGGTCTGGCTGGTCTTAAACTTCTGACTTCAGGTGATCCACCTGCCTCTGCCTCCCAAATTGCTGGGATTACAGGCGTGAGCCACAGTGTCAGGCCTTAATTTTTTTGAGACACAATTTCACTCTGCCACCCAGGCTGGAGTGCAATGTCGCGATCTTGGCTCACTGCAACCTCTGCTTCCCAGGTTCAAGCAGTTTTCCTGCTCCTGCCTCAACCTCCCAAATAGCTGGGACTATAGGTGCGTGACACCACGCATGGCTAATTTTTGTGTTTTCAGTAGAGATGGGGTTTCACCATGTTGGCCAGGCTGGTCTCGAACTCCTGACCTCCCAACTTTGGGAGGCTGAGGCAGGTGGATCACGAGGTCAGGAATTTGAGATCAGTCTGGCCAACATGATGAAACCCCATCTTTACTAAAAATACAAAAATTAGCTTGGTGGGAGGCACACGCCTGTAGTCCCAGCTACTCAGGAGGCTGAGGCAGGAGAATTGCTTGAACCCAAGAGCGGGAGGTTGCAGTAAGCCAAGATCATGCCACTGCACTCCAGCCTGGGCGACAGAGTGACACTCTGTCTTAAAAAAAAAAAAAATGTGGCCGGGCGTGGTGGCTCACACCTGTAATCCAAGCACTTTGGAGGCCAAGGCGGGCGGATCACCTGAGGTTGGGAGTTCAAGATCAGCCTGACCAACATGGTGAAACCCCGTCTTTAAAAGGAAAAAAAAAAGAAAAAAGAAAAAAAGGTGTGAGCCAAAGGTGCCTTTTGCATGTCCCTTCTCTGGGCAGACACTTTTCTCTACCACCACCAGGTGGCCCCAGAGAGATTTTTTTTTTTTTAACTGGATGTTTTTTGCCCATTTTATAGATGAGTAAACTAAGACGTGGAGAGGGAGGGGTCAACCAGAATGAGGAGGGTGGGGCCCGAGTCACATGCATAGATGCTCACATAGGTCAAATCACACACTCCTTTGCTCCAGCCCCTCCCATAGCCCCCCATTGCCCTCAGATCTGAATTCACACCTCCCTAGAGGCCTCATGTGGCCCATCCCTGCCTCACTTCTCTTGGCTTCCTCTGTTCCAGCCTCTCCCCACTCCTTGCTGTTCCCCGAATCAGCCAGACTTATTCCCACCCCATGGCCCTTGTCTGAATGCCTGTCCCCTGCTACTACGTCTTTTGGGTTACAGTCAGAGAGTCACCTCCTCCAAGAGGCCCTCCCTGACTAGCCAGGTAAATGCCTCAGAGAACCCTCCAGTCATGGGTACGACTTCACATTTATTGTCATGATTATTTGCCTGTGAGTCCCTCAAGAACAAGGCCAGATCTGCCTCGTTCCCTGCTGTTCCCTCAGTACTTGCACTTAGTGGTGGCTCATCCCTGTAATCCCAGCACTCTGGGAGGCCAAGGTGTGTGAATCCCTTGAGGTCAAGAGTTTGAGACCAGCCTGGGCAACATAGCGAAACCCCGTCTCTACTAAAAATACAAATATTAGCCAGGTGTGGTGGTCACCTGTAATCCCAGCTACTGGGGAGACTGAGGCAGGAGAATCGCTTGAACCTGGGAGGTGGAGGTTGCAGTGAACTGAGATTATGCCACTGCACCCCAGCCCAGAGTGAGAGACTCCGTCTAAAAAGAATAATAAATAAATAAGTGCTTGTAGCACAAACAGAGAGCCTCTCCTCCCATCCTCCAGCCACACTGATCTGTTTTCAGCTCCTCACATGCCTGATCCTCTTGAGTCTGAGGCTTTGCACATTCTGTTCCTTCTACTTAGAATACCCTTCCCTTTACTCACCCTAGCTGACCTCTTTCCTTCTGCAGGCTAAGCTTAGATGTCACTTCTTTCAAGCAGTCCTCCCTGAATCCCACCCCGCTGCTGGGTCAGGAGTCTCCTCTGGATTTGTTCCCTGATCTTTCCCCATCACCATGTGCCTTCTCCACCTGGGATGAGTCTGTCTCCACCATCAGCCTGGGGGACACAGCTTCTTGGTCCATGGTTGTGTTCCCAACACAGGGCCTGCCACCCAGTAGGTGTTTAAATGCCTTCTCAACAAAATGCTAGCACGGTTGCTCACGCCTGTAATTCCAGCACTCTGGGAGGCTGAGGCAGGTGGATCACCTGAGGTCAGGAGTTCAAGTCCAGCCTGGCCAACATGATGAAACCCCCATCTACTACACATACACAAAAATAGCCAGGCATGGGTCACACGCCTGTAATCCCAGCTACTTGGGAGACTTAGGCAGGAGGATCACTTGAACCCAGGAGACAGAGGGTGCAGTGAGCTGAGATCATGCCATTGCACTCCAGCCTGGGCAACAGAGTGAAACTTCATCTCAAAAAAGAAAAATGCTTGGACTCTCCCAGACCCCTGTGATCCATCTAGGGCTGTGGAGAAACACAGCTCCAACAGTTTTTAGGGCTGGGAAAAGAGCCTCAAGCTGGGGACCCTGTGTGTACCAGGCTCTGGCACACAATGTTCATCTCACTGATGAAGACGCTGAGGCTCTGGGAGGCACCACCGCTTGCTCAATAGCACCCAGCAGGTTGGCTTTGGGGCCTGGCCTTGAGCTCAATTTCCCCGGTCTTCCCCTCCCCACCCCGTGAACCCCTCCCTCCCACATCAGCGTGAACAAGCAAAGTGGGCCACTGCATACACATCCACATATGTGTGACTGCAGTGCATATGAGGTACAGCACAACAGGTGTGTGCACACACACCCGTGCAGAGGGACACCCAATCCACCGCTCCTGCCTCCCAGAGCCAAGCGGGGGCTTCCCCTAGACAAGCTCACACCAAGGCTCTGCTTGTTCTTTCTTGAAAATGGAAAGTTATGAGTCACCAGCAGGGAGAGGGCAGGCGGGGCTAGAAGGCAGGGAGGGGGAAGGAGCTCCTGGGTCACCTGAGAACAGCCCCAACCCCTCCGGACTGCACCAGATGCCTCCCAGGCTGCTGGAGGGCCAGGCTGGGGGTGAGAGACCAGGCTTGCTGACAGAGTCAGAAGCCAGTAGCCCCTGGGTGGGGGGGGAGGGGGGGTCCGTGCACTAGGACGCGATAAAGCCAAGCTCCAGAGCAGGGAAGCAACTCATCCGAGGACACCCTGGACTGGACTGAAACCTGGGCCGCTGGTCCCACTGACTTAGCTCCCCTCCAACCTAAGGAGGACTTGGAATTCCTGGACCCTCCTCCCTGGCCCTGGAGCCTCCACCTGGTAGCTGGAGACACTTAGGTCGTGTCTGGTAGAAGGCCCCTCTGGCCCCATCCCCCAGCCACATGGAAGGAGCTTAACTTCCTTATGTGACTCGGCACAATGCCCCCGACTGAAGGAACTCCAGCCCCTTCCGCCTAGCAACCACCTAACCAATCATCACCCGCCACCCCTGCTCTCCCACCGCCCCAGGCCCTCTGCCCCTATAAAACCGACCGAACAAGGAAAGCACGCGCGATTCATCCCCGTCCGTCTGAGTCGCCCGGAGATCCCAATAAAGTCGGTACCGGCCACCACGCGTCCTGCCTCGTGTCTACTGGGTGCCTGCCTCCGTGGGTTGGGGTCCCACAACCAGGGGTCGCACAGGTCGGGCCTCCTGGGAATTCTACTTTATGAGTCTCTTCTGTCTCTGTTTGAACCCCACCCCACTCAGCTTACACGAAACAGAAGGAACAGCCCCTCCTTACTTAAGTGAAAGAAACCTCCTGTCCACAAGCTTCCCAAGGGACTTCCCTTCCTCCCACAGGGGAGCAGGGTGGAATGAGGGAGTGGAGGTGGGGGAGGGAGCAAGAGGAGGCTTCTCCCCCCAACACTGGTGGCAGCCTGCCCTGGCCTTTTTATATCTATAATATATTAAATAGGCTGGGTGCAGTGGCTTACACATGTAATCCTAGTACTTTGGGACTAAGGCAGGAGGATCGTTTGAGGCCAAGAGTTCAAGACCAGCCTGGGCAACATGGTGAAACCCCACCTCTAGCAAAAACACAAAAATTAGCTGGGGGTGGTGACATGCCCCTGTAGTCCCAGCTACTCAAGAGACTGAGGTGGGAGGATGGCTTGAGCCCGGGAGGCAGAGATTGCAGTGAGCAGTGATCAAGACAGTGCACTTCTACCTGGGTGACAAAGTGAGAGTCTGTCTCAAAAATAAAAACGTGTGTGTGTGTGTGTGTGTGTGTGTGTGTGTGTATTTATATCCAAGCACCCCAGGGTTACCTCAGGTGTTTGAGGTGGTCGCAAACCTCCCCCACAGCCCTGCGGACATTCCTCGGTTCAGAAAACCTTCGGACCCCCAGCTGTGTTAGCGCAGGGGCAGTTACACTCAGCCACACACCTACAGGCACCACAAGGGGAGACACACCGGTACACCCACAACTGCCTGGGGACACATGGACTCATACCCAAGCATGAACGCAGACCCACAAGCCGTGATGACACCAGCACCCTCAGCTCCACCCCGACGTAGAAATAGCTTTTTCCTTCCAAGCGCCAGCCTCAGCCAAGCAGCAGAGACCCTCCCCCACTCCCGCCAGGCCCCGCGCGCCCCTCCCCCGCGCTGCAGGAGGGCCCTGCCCCGGCCACCTACCGCCTGCAGGAGGAAATGGGCCAGGACAGCCGCGACTTCCTGAGCCCGGGCCGCGGGCTCAGGTCCTGCTCGCGGCAGCCCGCGGACTTCTCTGGGTCCGAATGGAAGCGCTGTTGGATGCGGATGGGGCGCCGGGGTTGCCGCCACAGGTGCTTCGGGGCCCTGGCCGTGCCTTGGCGGCCGCGAGGGCGACTCAACCTGCTGCACGCCTCTGCCCCTTCGCCGACCCCCAGGGTCTCCATGCGCCAGAGAAAGGGGTCTGGGATAGCCGGGAGCAGGAGTCGTCCCCTTGAGCGGGCGCCGAGGAGCGTCTGCGCCCGGGTCCGGCCCAGGGCCGGGAGTGCAGGCGACAGCGAGGAGCTGTCCGCGCTGGAGGTGCTGAAGCAGGGAAGGTGGAACCCGGGGCTCAAGGTGGGGCCGACACCGAGGAGCTGTCGATTCCCTGATGGTGCTGAAGGGCAGAACAGGGGAGAAGAACGTGGCGAGGGGTGTTGAAGCCAGGGGCTGGAGAGACGCCCGCCCAGCCCCGAGAACCGGCTGCCGTCCCCGCTAGCGCTGCATGGAAAAGAACCAAGACAAGGACTTGGAGTGGAGAAGACAGAAACTGTTCGCTGATTGCTTCTAAATGGAGGGCAGGGAGACAGGGTTTCAGGAGACCCCCGGGGCCGAGACCCTGCCCCTCCCTCCAGTGTTGAAAGAGAAAAAGGTAGATTTAGGAGCTCCGGGTGGGAGACAGCGACGAGCTGTCCGCGACTGGATGGTGCTGAAGGCAGGGGAGGGAGACGGGTTTGGGAGCACCCCCAGATCAGGGCATCATCTGCCCAGGAGGTGCTAAAACCTGAGCAGTGACGGGTCCTCAACCTTTCCCAGCAACAGTGGCAACAAGAAGTCTGGAAGCAGAATCAGGGCTCTGGTCTTCAGAGGTACGTACAGATAGCGGTCTTTCTGCCAAGCCCAGAAGGTAGGCTCTGCGGTTCAGCCCCAGAAGGGGTCTCTTTGGAGCCCTAAAACGCAACGCCCACCCATGCCAGGGAGGGAGCTGAGAAGGACAGGGAAATTGGCAAGGCTGTGACGGGGCCTCCCATGTCTGGGATGAGCACACAGAGGCTACCTCTGGCCGGAGCTCCAAACAGCCGCCAGTAGAGATGGGCAAAGAGGAGAAGTCAGGTCTCTCTAAGAAACAACCTAGTTCTGATTCTAAGACCCTCCCCACCCCAAAGCCACGGTGCAGCTGAGTTGGGGGAGGACTGGCAGAAAACCCACCTTTTGTGGAAGCTCAGGACAGGCAGGAGGAGTATCTCTGAGACTTGCGCTTTTAAAGCCACACCAACACTCAGACCCTCAGCGGAAATGGCAGGATCTCATTCGCCCTGAGAAAGTCCCAGGCCCCACCTCACAGCCACGATTCCTGCCATCAAACCCCAGGCCTGCCCCTCCCTGCCAGTTCTGGAAACTCAAGTCCCCACCCACCAGGCATCTTAGTCTCAGGGGTAATTTCCTGGGAAGTGGCAAGGAGGGGTGGAAACATTTTCCATCATGGTTAACTGAAGTAAGCGTGAACAGCGGCAGGGCTGGGCAGGTCAGCGTGGTGCAGAAAGAGGTGGGATTTTGTACTCCCAGGGTCACGACTTGGTGGAGGCCCCCTGGGCTGGGGCAGGGAGGCACTTGGGGCCATTAGGGTGCCACTTGCTGCAGCAGATTTGGGAAGAGCCCCGATCTTTTTGGATGTCTCAGAAACATTCAATAGCGTCTTTCTCATGGAGACAGACTCCCAGTGACCTTGGTGGAGGCCTCTGGGCTGGAGCAGGGAAGCATTTGGGGCCATTACGGTACCACTTGCTGCAGCAGATTTGGGAAGAGCCCCGATCCTTTTGGATGTCTCAGAAACATTCAACAAGGTATTTCCCATGGAGACTGCCTCCCAGTGACCCCAGCCATGTCACCAGGTTGGAGAAAAGGAAAATGTTTGAGCTGGGAAGTCAGGCAGACTGAATTCAAGCTCCACTACCGTCATGCCTTGCTGTGTGATGCATGACAAATGACTCCCTCTCTGTTCTATGCTTGGGTGGTTTGGTCCCTGTTCTCCACTCCCCCACCACCCCCAAGAACTGACTGTGGGAGACAACTTGGCCCAGTGGTGAGGAACATGGTCACTAGCTGGCTCTGTCACTTCCCCTCCCAAAGCTTTTTTTTTTTTTTTTTT